TAGCTTGAACCCATGGAGAACCTGCCATTTCTCCTCCTGGGTGGTTTTTTTCACATCTTCATTTTGAAAAGTGGAAAAATGAATCAGGGGAAGAGGAAGAAAAATGGATAAGTTTCCCCAAAGGTTGTTTATCAGGAGGCAACTGGATTTTTTCTTTGAAGACGTTTCGCTTCTCATCCGAGGACCTTCTTCAACTCCGACAGGATAGCGGGGAATAGAAGGATTTATATTCCTTGCAGACAGCTGGCCATTTGCATCCTTTTAGAGGGTCGTTGAGGCCACTTGGAGGTTTATCTGTGTCCTCAAGGTCACCTGAGTCATGAATAGTAGTAGACCCTGAGGACACAGATAAACCTCCAAGTGGCCTCAATGACTCTCTATAAAGATACAAACGACCAGCTGTCTGCAAGGAGTATAAATCCCTCCATTCCATGCTATCCTGTCGGATCTGAAGATGCTTCTTGGATGAGAAGTGAAACATTTTCAAAAGAAAAAAGCAGAAAGTCCAATTGCCTCCTAAAATGCACCTCTGGGACAGCCATGATCTGGATGACTGAGAATCTCTACAAACTAATGGATCAGTTTGATCCAAAGTAAAGCTCTCTCCCTCTTTTTTTTTTTTTTTTTTTTTAGAGAGAGAGAGAGAAAAAGGAGCTGCGATTAACATTTTCACTCTCATTCCCTTCCCCGAAACCTGAAAGCCTCCAACTATTTCTTCAATGTCGGCCATGCAGTTTTCAGCCCCTGAAACGGTGGCTTCTCTATGAAGCCAAAAATCTATGATTATTCAAATGTTGGGTGTGCAGTGGGGAAGGGAGACAACACTTTGAAAAGCAAAGGAAGAAAGCGAGAAAATTAATATTGCAGCTGTTCTTCTGATTAATGAGAGATAATTGCTCTCAAAAAGTCACCCCTGTGGCATTTTGTTGTCTCATAGATCTTTGTTCTTTTCCTCACTATTATTGAGGACTTTCTGGAAGACTAAGCGGTTCTTTTCAATTTTTGGGTATTCAGAAAGTGTTGCCTGGTTACGGGGGGAATGGAGTAATTGGGGAGAGGGGGGATAGATTGGGAAGAGGTGCCACAGCCGCCATCTCACAATGCCACGCTTAGGAGAAAAAGGATGGCTACAAGTCAATGAAGAGCTTTCAATAAAACATTCCAGGGCTTCTTCATGCTTACGAGAATGGCCTCATGACAGGGAGGTGGAGCAAGTGGGTGCACAGGCGTGTGCACGCACGCACACAATACACCCACACCCACACTCGCACAATGCACACACACTACACATCAGGGGGAGTGCAGTGATGAAGAGTCAACCACTGCTGTGCAAACGTTCTGAAAATAAAAATAAAACCACCACTGCCACCCCTCCTTCCCTCCCTCCCACCATCCCCGGGGGAATACAGGTAGCTCTGATGACCCGGGGTGTGGCACAAAAATAACAAAGGCACCAAAGTAGACCGATTCCCTTTAATGCCTCCAACTTGGCCCCCAATGTCCAGTTATCCTCGGCTGGAAATCAAACTCTTCCAAAAATAAGTCTACAAAGGGAAGAAATGCAGTCCGAACCCAAAGTACAGATAAAGTAGAAATAAAAAAACCAACACAAACCACGTTGAAGTAATTAACACGACAGGCCAGGATAATAAATTGCAGACTTCCAAAAGATAACGAAGCACACACACAGTTGGGGAGACAACAAAAACCCAGTTAAGCCTCGATAAAGATAATGCACGTTTTGCTTCCAGCAAGGTGCTGTGTGCAAATGGCCGCCTTATAGCCTGTTCTCCCATCTGCAACTAATGAAAGGGATCAGGGCCTTTTTCTCTCCCATAAGCCATGTTGCTCCCTTCTCCGTTCCTCCCTGCATGCCCTAGGATGAATAGGTGGTGGCCCTGGGTCTTCTTCTGAATGCCCAGCCAGAATGTGCCCTTCCCCAGTTTCTTCCACAGCTACTGGAGCCACAGTCCCACTCTCTGTCACTTGCTCAATCTCCCCCTCAGAATCAGACTCCAACAAGGGCATGACAGTAGTCCTTGGACTTACAATCACATTATCGATTAATGGAGTCGGAAGGGCCCTTGTAGGTCATCTAGTTGAGCCCGGAATTTCTTTGGCTCAATGAGACATTGGTTAAGTGAGCTCCCCCCCCCATTTTTACGAGGTTTCTGGCCACGTTTTGTGGAGTGAATCCCTGCAGCCCTTAGGTCACTTAACAGAGTTGTTAAGTGACTCTCACTTCCCCTTTGACTTTGTTCGTGAGAAGGTCACAAGAGGAGGTCACGTGACCCCCTGCAACCATCATAAAAAGGAGTTTTGAAGTGTTTGAATTTTTGTCATGTGACCCGGGGTTGGGGGCGGCATGCTGCAACACAGTGGTGGTATTCTACCGGTTCGGCTCGGTTCAGCTGAACCGGTTCACTCCTGATGATCAGTTCCTGGGCCCTCCCACTTGCCCCAGCTCCATACTGACCTTTATTTCCTGGTTTTTGAAGCTCAGCTGCTTCGCGCGCCACAGCGGATTGCCGCATGTCAGCTGTTGAACACACAGGCAGAGTGCAGGAGCGCAGGAGAAAATCAGTAATAAACTCTCTGCACGCGTGCAAAGCATGCCCACCAAGCCACGCCCACAGAACCAGTGGTAAAAAAAAAAATTAAATCCCACCAGTGGTGAGATTCAAAAATTTTTTACTATCGAGTCTGTGGGCGTGGCTAGGTAGGAATGGCTAGGTGGGCATGGCCATGTGACTGGGCCATGTGACTGGGTGGGCGTGGCTTTTTTTTCAGCAACACCCCCCCATGTTTTGGGCCTTCTGGGCCTCAGGCAAGCCTCCTGGAGGGGG